TACAAGGCCGTCCGGAACCGAGATCTTTCATCCACGAACACGGCTTACAATGGCAATGAGATCGGTGACGGGGCAGGAGCTGGGGCAGGAGTCGATCGCAACACCAGTGTGCGCAGCGTCATAACACTCCCGGCTTATTCAAGAACGCCAAAAGACAGTGAACAAGTAATCGGGCGGGAAGGTGAAAGAGGTGGTATGGACACAGTGGTTGAATTCCCGGAGACGGCGGACGAGGAAGAAACACGTCGAGAAGACCAGATGGAATCATTATACCAAATCCGAGTGGCACGCCGCCGCGAAATTGCGGAACGGGAGGAACGCAGACGGGAACGACGAGAAGCTCGCGAGAGAGGAGACACAGCTCGATTAGAGCAGTTGAGGCGAGAATCTCGCCAGCGTGCGAATGAGAGTACTACCTCCGTCAATGGCGGTGTGAGTGTCTCTGCTGCCACTTTAATTGCTGAACATCAGTCTCGCGGACGGGAACGAAGGGTCTCAAGCGTCGCATATGCTTCGCTGGGAGAAGTACGCCATGACGGTACCCGGATCCGAGCAAACAGCAACGATTCTGAGCGAGGTGGGCTGTTGAGTGGAGCAGCCCCGATGGGCGAGACCGAGGGACGGCTCCGTCTCCTTTCGGATGCTACATCAATGCATAGCCGAGAGCGTTCGATCAGTGCGGTCAGTGTGTCAACAATGGGGTCTGATATGGAACCTCAGCAAACACCTGGATCGACCATTCCGGACGACAGCAATCGACGCCAAAGTGACGAGCCCCAAAGCGGCGGTACGTCCAACTCTTCACCGACCGCCAACAGATTCACGCCTGATGAAAGCACTGGATCGGACGACATTGGGGAATCACGCATTCCACTACCTTCAGACATTGGCGATGAAGGTCGGCCGCCCGACTACGAGTTTCTGGAGTGGGGTGACGCTCCTTCATACGAAGCTGCCGTCGCTCGTCGCGCAGCAAGCAATGCCAGTCGAGCTGCGGGCGTTCTGTCAAGAGGCCCTACAAATGCAAGCATTGCTCCTCGACTCCCCCAGCTCAATCTTCCTAGGATCAGTGTGTCTGGAGCCACGGAGCCTAATACACCTGTGTCGCCAGATGCCCAAGCCGCGCCTGTTCCCAATAATGGACCCACGTCGGCCTCGCACTCGCCTGAGGTAACGACAGGATCTGAGCAATCAAGGGTGTAACCCATGGGCGCTCTTCAAAATAAAGTATGCTATACATGAAAGGAGGATGGTGTGCTTTGGACATGTCCGTTAAGATTGGGCAACAAGGATCTGTCATTCAAAATATGATCATGAAATTTATGATGGGGATGTCTTACAACATGTGTTACAACGCATATAGCACGGCGCTGGGGTATCTTTCTTGACTATCTGACTCAGGAAGGGTTGAGAGCAGCAATTAACCGAGCCCTGCTCTTCGATTTGAACACTGGCTTTCTTGTAATGAAGCAATATCACACCCTTTGTGCCGATTCAGTGCTAAGTTTCCTTTCTTGCTTTTGTCCGAGTTTTGACTCGTCAGCATTACCTCTCTCTTTGCGTACGCGGCAACCGTGTGTTATTTCGGGAACATTATATCACACCAGACCGACAGGCAATGAGCTCACAGGGGGACGCGACAGGAAACATTAGTGTCATGAGAAGAGATCTCTCAAACTTGAGATGGACGCCTTCCAAGGTGATTAGATATGGTTGGAAAGCTGACAAGATGCAGGAAAGACGAGGAATGTCACGAGATATTGATGATGAATCTTTCTCATTCCAGCAATGCTATGAAGTAAGTTGAACCAAACCCCTTCGTGTAAAGCTGTTCGGGAGTTTTGTCTTTGATGATACTGTCGGGTCTGGTTGGACTTGTTGATTCCACATCAGAGAGGGTCAGGTTTTCCAGGCTGGATGATGTTAACAGCCGGCTCCAGCCGTCTGCTCCATGTGTAACGACGGCGGGTGAGGACTCGGACACTCCTTGCCTCTGTGAGACAGAGCATATCTCCACCTCAGGTTGACCATTTTTTGGACTCTTGAGTGGGTGGCCGATACGCTTTCTCTCCCTAGTGCTCTACCGCACAATCCCCTCGAATCTCGTCTTGAACCACTTGATCGAATCATCCTTGGAAACTTGGTGGCTGCGTCCAACCTTGCTCTTGCAGCGTCGTCTCCGAGCAACTCTGGCACCGGGTCTGCCCATGCAGCAGTAGAAATCCATTCCGTAAATACCAATCGCCGGATCGTACTTGATCCCCAGATCAATGTGCTCCGAGATACCGAACCCGAAGTTCCCGGTTTCGCTGAAGTTCTTCTTCCTGAGTTCGTATTCCTTGACTTTCAGGCCGCGTTCGAGGATTTCTTCGGCTTTAGGCCCGCGGACGGTGACATGGACGGCGATCTTTTCGTTACGGCGGATACCGAAAGAACGAACAGTGTAGCGCGCTTTGCCTGGACAGATTGTGTCAGCACGAGGGTAGAGAAGTGCGACCGGGGATATGAAGCATACTGTAGACAGGAGTTTGACCCGACAGTTGTTCCAACACCTTTGCAGCACGGGTGAGACGATCACCAGACTCTCCGACGGAAATGTTCAGCACCAGCTTGTCGATGCGCAGATCCCGCATGGGGTTTGAGCTCTTGTCGTTGCCTTCCGCCATTTTTGTCAGAAAATGGTGGTGTTAACGATTGCGACAGAGTACAAATTTCGAGGGGTTTGTGGTGCAGGTAGTTGAGAAAAAGCAAGAGGATCCAATTGACGGGTGTTCGAAATTCTGCGTTGGTGCGTCCGGGGTTGTGGCTTGGCACTGCCAAGGACAATAAAACCGAACTAGACTGGATTTGGAGCTGCGGCACCAATTTTCGAAGTCTCGCGACCAGGGCAACCAGGATCAACTACTCGTATAAAGAGCCACATAAAGATACAACCAGTTCGAGCCTGCTTCGCTTCTTCTTCTGCAGAAGTGCTACAGCCATCGTCTGGCACGTGCAGTTGGGCTGCGGCTCTAAACTTCGCACGGATCCTATTTTTGAGGCACAAGCGAGGCAATCTGTACGTCGACGCTGAACGAAGGCGAAGTCGCTTTCGTGCGCATCGTTAGGCAAGATGGCGAACAGGCAGGGGAAGATGGTAACTATTGACAGCATTGTTTCTTCTTTTATGGGCGATGGCTAATCCGTGTGTAGCAAAACTTGGTATACCCGACCTGTCCCACTGTTACATCAAGAAGCACCCTTTCTGACTAGAGTGAACAAGATCAACTACCGCATGCGCGTGACCATGAACGATGGCCGTCAAATGACTGGTCAAATGCTTGCATTTGATAAAGTAAGCTCTCCGCCTGGAAGCCACATTGGACTCCCCTTGACCCCATCCCACAGCGCGATTGAGTTGCTGATATTCTATCTTTGGTAACAGCACATGAACCTCGTCCTCGCAGACACCGAAGAATTCCGCAAAGTTAAACGCAAGCAAGCCAAATCCTCCGCGCCAGCCGTCCCGGGCTCTGCAGCTGCGAGTGTCGAGACCGAAGAGAAACGAACCTTGGGCCTTGTGATTTTGAGAGGAACAAATATCGTGAGCTGTTCGGTTGAAGGACCTCCTCCATCCGATCCCAGCGCTAGATTGGGGCAATCTGCTCCAGGAGGAGCCCCAGCAACACTTCAGGCTGGTACAGGTATCTCGAGACCGGCTGGCAGAGGTCTTCCTGTAGGGTTGAGCGGTCCTGTAGCAGGCGTGGGGATGGGCGGACCGCCTCCTCCAGGAGGAGTGCCACCTGGAGCGATTGGATTCCCGCCGCAACCACCAGCGGGATTTCCAGGCGGAGCACCACCCCCTGGATTCGCTGGAGCTGGAAGAGGTGGACTACCTGGACCACCAGGAGGACCTCCTCCCGGCTTCGGTGCGCCTCCCCCTGGGTTTGGAGGACCGCCCGGTGGCCCGCCAGCAGGTATGCCTCCGGGCTTTCAAGGCGGACCACCAGGCCCTGGAAGGGGTTTCCCGCCCCCAGGATTCGGAGGAAGGTGAATATGGCTGTGCAACCCAGAGCATCAAAGGGTTGGAAGCAATCCTACACCCGTCCATGGTTAAAGAACCAAGAGATAATTGGGCCGCTTTGCCGTTTCAAGTTGCTTGGACTCGAGGTATGAAAGGTGCTCATCGCCTTTTCTGCACAGAGAAGGTCTGCAATAAACCCGGCAAAATGCGGAATGTTCGGTATCTTTGTGGTCCCGACAGTTACATACGTTGGTGTTAGCAACATGCCAGGCTGCAACCCGTTGAAATTATGTGATTGGACACCTCACAACACACACCGAGTTTGAAAATAGCAGACAAGATGCAAACTCCTAAAGACGATTGCGAGCATGAATCAGGAACGAGAAAAGCGAGGATCTGTCCCGGAGCAGATCACTCCGTCAAAGATCACGACTTATGCCAAATCCGAGAGCAGCTGGCAGCTTGCTTGCGGAAAATGGGATTTTATTTGCGACAGTTCCCAAGAGGGAGCATTCACAGGCTTCACAAAAGAAAGCGATGAAATGGTAGAAGCAGACGAAACCTATCTTCCCGCTCTAAAAGTAGAGATGTGTGCGCTGCATGCTTGAGCACAAGACAAAGTAATCATACTTTGATAGCATACTTTTCGTGGCGCTTCACCCCTTTCTACCATAGCAAACAGCATCCACATATACCACGCTCTGGTAATCTCCTAGAACATTGTCGATTATCCAGGTGGGGGTATCGAGGATGCTTCATGAAGTGGCCCCTGCCACGTCGCATTCTCTAATACAAGAGGTAGAGACAAAAGTCACACGCATAGCGGGTGATACCCTCAGCTTTCTTCGAGCCTTGTCGGCGGTTTCTGAGCGGGTCCACCCTTGGCAGGTTTGACATGTTTGGCGACGATTTTTGGGCCAGCGAGGCTGTGACTTTTTGCAAGTACTCGGCACAGGAATGAAAAAGTAATATCAAGAGGCATCTCTACGCGCATGCAATGCCTCCGCCAACGAAGCGTCGACGGGTAGAGCCCACTGTTATCGAAGAAATCAAATTTGACCCGACTGCGCGCCACGATTTCCTGACTGGATTCCACAAGCGCAAGTTGCAGAGGGCAAAGCAGGCACAGGAGGCCGCCGAGCGGAGAGCAAGAGCAGAAAGGATCGAGGAACGGAAGAAGGTGAGGTTTCCTCTTCATCGAACCGTTTATATATATATATATATATATTTTGCGGTGCTGACGGTCTACCAGCTGCGAGAACAGCGGAGAGCCGACCTTGAAAGACACGTGCAGGAAGTCAACGCTTTGTTGAGACCGCCGTCTGATCATGACGAGGAAGATGAGGAGCGTGAACAGAGCTCAGAAGAAGAATGGAGCGGTATTTCAGATTCGGAACCCGTTCCGCTACGTCACGAGACGGAATATATCGATGAAGAGAAGTACACCACAGTGACTGTTGAGGCGATGGATGTTTCCAAAGAAGGACTGTCCAAGGCGGAACAGAACCAGGACCAGCGTTCCCAGCAATTCATTGGAGATTCTCCTGAAGGTTTGGGAAGTGGTCTGGACAATAAGCAGAAAAGCCCATGGACAACAAGCCGGCCAAAGGACATTAAGAAGCGAAAGAAGAGAAACTTTCGATATGAGAGCAAGGCGGAACGGAAAGAGACACGATCAAAGGAAAAGGCCAGAAATCGGAAACAGGCTCGAGATCGCAGGAGTGATCAACGATAATGGTATTCTGGATTCTCAATCAAGACTTTCAACGCTCGCCTTCGGGTGTGCCCTTTATCAAATGCCCATGGTATCGTAGGTACGGTGGTCTATGCATTGTGCTCCACGCACATGCCAAACACAATGGCCAACACCAGGTATTTCGCACACTTTAGATATTGCCCATGCTTTGCTCCAGTTCTTGTAGCTCCTTCTGCAGATCCGCATACTTTTTGGCCATGTCCTCGTACTTGTTCTCCCACTCGTCGCGTGCTTGCTCCAACGCTTGGACTTTGCGCTCGAAGTGGCCAGCTTTGACATCGGTTTGCCGGAGCCTGGGACGGGTTTGTTAGCAGGAAGTACTGTGTTGAGTATGGCTACGCATACTTCTCGTTAGTCTCCCTGAGGGTCTTGTCGGCCTGCTCGGCTTCCTCCTCGAGAACTTGGAGTTTCCGCTGGAGAGACTCAGTCTCGTTGCTATGTTGTGCCGACTCGCCGGCAAGTGCCTTTGCCTCCTTTATGCCTTGTTCGAGTTTCTCAACTTCGGCTTCCAGGAGTTGGTTACGGTGATTGAGGGAAGTGATCTCTTGTTCTTTTTGGAGGTTGTCTTGTTCAAGAGATTTGACTTTCTGCTTGAGCTCCTCTGCTTTGGCTGCGTTCTCGTCCGCCTCAATGCGGAGAGAGTTCATTTTCTGTTGGAAATTAGCGAACACGGCCGACATGGTGGGCGGGTCGAGGATGGTGCTGGATGTGTGAGGAGGGCGCGGGATAGTCTGGGTCCTGGGGGACGTGGGATAAAGGATGGTTCGTGATATTGTGAAAATGACTGCAGTAGCCAGGTGGCAGGGCAATCGATTGAATACGCTGTGGCAGAAGGCAGGCCCGAATGAATTACTTGCTGCCTGGCAGGAGCACGAGGGGAAGGTTGCAGGTGCAGAAGAGGTGATAGGGACCTACCTCCTTGATCCGATCCATGGTGAATTTCCGTTGCAGAGGTCGTGAATTCGGGGTCTGGCAGAAAGTCGAATGGGGGAGAGCAGGTGTATGTTGACTGGAATCAAAGATAAATGATACTTGTTCGTAAGGGAAGGCTCAACTGGCGGTCACTGATGCATTATTCGCTGAGAGTCAGCTGGGGGGATAGAGGGGAAGTCATTCGATGATCAAGCCAATGACATTTGCGTTCTAGGGGTGAGGCTGCATGGGCTTCAGCCCTCGCTGTTTGCGCTCTAGGCCGGTCTCAGGCTCTAACGGTTCGACCGAACACCGCCAGGAGCCTCCCGGAACGCGTTGCTCAGGGCAACCGCGTCAACATTTCGACCTTGTCCGCGTTTCTCCCTCATGAATCAATCCCCAACAATCCCTCCCGCCCTAGATTTCGAGCGCAGACAATAATTACAACTATCTGGACGATTCGACATCATACCAACCATGGCAAGCATTCTAGCCTCACGAGACCAAGAAAACCTCATCCACGCCCAGCAGACCACAGCTGCTGGCAAGCCATTGAACCAAAGCGCGCGGATGGTAAATCCAAAGACACCAGGAAACCTGAAGACTCCTTTTCGACCAGCGAAGAATGACGAAAACCTACCGGTCCGGTTCAATGGACAGAAGCCGATAGAGAAGGATGCGCCAACCAAGTTAGACAAGAGTACATTTGTTACACCTTTGCTTCCACGCAACCGAGCTCCCCTTGGAATCAAGACAACCAACGCGAAAGCTCAAGCATTTCAGACGCCTGCTCCTGCTCCTCTGACGACAAAGCGTCCTGGCACTGGCCAGAAACAATCCGCAGCTCGTCGATCAGGAAAGTCTAAGATCGCAGTCTCTCTTTCCGAACCAGTGGAGAGCGAGTCTTTGTTGAAAAGACCTGCGCAAGAACAAGAGCCGGATTTTGGTTACGCGCCACCGCCACCAGAAGAGCTACCGGATCCCCCAATCGAATTTGAAGAAGATGCTCTTCTTACAGAGGAGCTGAGCGCAGGGTACGGAGTGGTCTATCCCTACGATTCCCCGAAAGATGAAAATGGAATGTCGATACGCTCTAACAGGGAAAAGGAGGACTGGCACCAATTCGATGCAGATCGTATGAAAAAAAGCCTTGAGGACATGGCCAAGCCTGTGTTTCCTACACTTAGCAAGTTGGACGCACAGGTCGACGCCATGATTGCAGCAGGACCAAAGAAACGACGAGACCTCTCAAGAGTTGATACCATACAAGCGAGGTCTGCGGCCGCGGCGCTCTCTGGCTCACAATTACACCTACCTGCTGCTATCAGAAAAACCACGCAGGTATCGGAACAGAAGAAGAGACAAGTTCTTCCCGTCACGAAAGGCAAACATTCTACTCTGCCACGGCGCTTTTCGTCATCTCGCAGCACCCATACTGCCATCTCTAAGAACACGATTGGGTTCCCAAAAGCAAAGAAGGTTCCCTCCATAATTCCCAGAGGTGCTGAAAACGAGAGAAACGGACTTACCTCAGCCTCGAAACCCGGCAAGCTCTCGCAGGCATCGATTCACCCACGCGACTTCCGCGACCTTTATGGGTCACCCCCTGAGGAAAGTGACATGTGGTTCAGACTGAAGCAATTCGAGCTGCTAGAGCAAGATTTGGTTCAGGATGGGGCTAGTGATCTCGCAGATGACCTATTTGGAACCGACTTCTTCCCTTTCGAAAACGCAAGATTGGACGATGAGGATTTTCAATTGCCCGTACCCGAGTGAACACGATGCTTCGGTCAGCCCTCGTTGGAGGCATAGGGCATAGCATGTTCCTGGCAACCTTTACGACACTCGACGATTCATGATATTGATACCCCCTTGAAGGATATTGTAAGGAACCCGGAGTTGCCAACGCACGAATATCTAACCGGGAACGGCGCCAACTTGTTCGGAAGGGAACAACTTGTTTGGTACTATGGATGGTGGGATGTCTATACAGAGAGTGCTTTTGGAACTATTAGAGACGGGCTTTTGTTGCTTGGGCAAGCGCATTTCTACTGTACTTTGCTCTCCAACTGGAGCGCGTTTCCCAATCTTCCATTGACTTTGTCGTTGATGTCCAGCACGGGAGCGGTTATCATCTCGGCTCACGGTAATTCATCCACACCGCCGTGAACGCCACCATTTGTCGCTGCCTTGAGAAACTCCTTGGGCGGCTCCGTGACTTTCATATTCCAGCCAAACTGATCCTTGACCTTGCCCATTTGAATGCCCTTTAACGTGCTCAACAATTGTGCACAAACTGGACCGGGATCTAGGTTCTCGTTGACCGGATATTCGAATTTATCACCCTTGGATTTCATGGTGATGCTCTTGATAGGCACCAAACTCGCAGCGGTGCCAGCGGCCATGATTTCTGTGAATTGAGGGAGCTCGCTGTAGTCGATCCGACGTCTCTCCACGTTGTACCCAAACAGGTCTTTGGCGATTTGGCAGGCGGATTCTGATGTCACGGACTTGATGACATTTTTAGAGTCAGGCACCACAATCGTCGTCTTATCCCCGTCCTTCCGCACGCCCAAAAAGCCCGAGGTGGAGAACTCGTCGATCTCGCTCCGTGTCTTGCTATCCAAGTGCAGAGTGATACCGAACCCTTGAGAACGTGCCTTCTCGCTATGCCGCAACACGGGGGCGTAGTTGCCGCCCACCTTTGCACTGCCCGTGCCCTCTGGGGCCGCACGGTCGAAATCTTCGAGGATCAGCGCGTCGACGGCATGCACACCGTGGTACACGCCTGTGGGCATCACAAACACCACAAAGGTATACTCATCCGGAGGGTTCAGGCCGAGCTGGGCGCTAGAACCGAACAACAACGGACGGATATACATTGCCGCGCCGGTCTCGTGAGGGGGTACAAACTCAGCATTCAGCGCCACAGCCAGATTCACACATTCTACGAAATGGTCCTCTGGCACGGGGGGAACAGAAATAAATTCGGCAGAGCGTTGCATGCGGAGAGCATTCTGGTCGGGACGGAAGATAGAGATGGACCCATCTGGCTGTCGGAAGGCTTTCATGCCCTCGTAGCACTGGACACCGTAGTTCAAGCCGGGGGCCATGCCATGAATCGATAAGTGAGGCGAGGTCACAAAACGAGGTTTGCTCCATTCTGGCTTGGGCGAGGAATAGCGGAAGGTGGATTCAATATGTCCATTGACCTCGCGAACTTTGAAGCCGACATTGCTCCAGTCTGGACGATATCGTCAGCGAGGTTTCCTGCAGAGTTTGTGCGCAGAATTCTGTGCGCTCCATTGTGCCCGCCTCAGGAGAAAATGAAGGGAGGGTGCAGGACGCCTACCAATTGTGCTCACTGGTGGAGGGGGAAAAGGAGCCATGTTTGACTGTAGAGAGTGTAAGGAGAGACTCTGGATGTGCTGTTATTCGCCTTGTGGTGGTAACTACCTCGACGGTAAAAAAGGTTGACTGGAAGTCAAGGTTGAGCGTGAGAGTGGGCAGCCTTAAGTCAGATCAGAGTCACAAAGATGAGCCGGCAGTGTGGTTTTTGGGAGGGACAAATATAAAAATCTTTTTCCCACCCCCGTAGGTTCCCGGAGTTCAAGTTGTAAAGTCCAAGCCAATAAGCAGATCTCCGGAGATGTTTCAGTCTGATGGTGTGGTGTGGTGTGGTGTGGCAATTCAAGAGTGAGACGACCTGTTAACTACAACTCTTCTAGATTCTCTGCCTTCCACTCAGGTAATACTTGTTCTGGAGTGAGCGAGATCGGAGCGCGAGTCTTTCGTATTTGGTGCATATCGCAAATTTTGCTGGCACCAGCTGCTGCTTTAGACTGCGGAGACGAGGGTGGCACAGGGTGGCACCAGTGGTTGAACCCCGGATTTCGCCAGCTCGTGGAATGAGGATCAAGGAAACACGAGAACAAATCACGGTGAAATACCAGCCATCATACCTATCATCACCTGAGTTTCCCCCCTACGCTAACTTCCTCTCTTTGACTACTTGTACTGAGTCCTATATTCTCTGTATAGTAGAATCTGCTCTCCTTGCATCAGCTTCAGCGTCGTCCTCTTTTTCTCACCTCTCTGTCCTTTGTTGGCTTGTTTTTTTTTGGGACCGAAGTTCTATCTGTCATCACTCCCCTCCAACATCCACCATGCCTCGAGCACCTCCCCCTGCGATGGTGTTGCTGTCCGCCATCGCCCTCTTTGTATGGTACATCATCTGGACTCGTGACCACGACCGGCCCCTGACCGCTCTGTCCCACGCCGATCGCTTCCAGCACTCGTCCAAACAACTACCACAAGACATGGCCGAAATCCCCACTGTAACAGCCACGCCGGAGACCTTACACGGGGACCATGTTATGGGCAAGCTTGGCAATGAAACCCTGAAAGCAGAACTGGGCCGCGCAGCCTGGAAAGTTCTTCATACTACCATGGCACGATTTCCGGACAAGCCGACGCAAGACGAGAGCGACGCGCTCAAGAGCTATGTGTACCTCTTCGCCCGACTGTACCCATGCGGCGAATGTGCAGAACATTTCCAGCAAATCCTCAAGAAGTACCCTCCACAGACATCTTCACGATCGAGTGCGGCAGCCTGGGCGTGCTTTGTGCATAACGTGGTGAATGAAAGAAAAGGCAAGCCTATCTTTGACTGTGCCAACATCGGAGATTTCTATGACTGCGGTTGTGCAGATGATGAGAAGGAAGAGATGGCCAAAGCCGGAGCGAAGAGTGAGGCCATAGCCACCCA